CATTGCATTACACTACATTACATTGCATTCCATTACATTACATTACATTATGTTACGTTAACGTTACCTTACGTTAGCTTACAGTACATTACATTACGTCACGTTACGTTACATTACGTTACGTTATGTTACCTTACCTTACGTTACCTTACATTACATTACATTACATACATACACACCATATAACATAATATAACATAACATTACATTACATACGTAACATAACATAACATACATACAAACATACATCACATCACATCACATCACTTTACATTACTTTACTCTACTTACATTACATTGCATACAATTACATACCATACATACCATTCCATTCCATTCCATTCCATTACATACATACATTTGATTGAGATACGTCTAGAGTCTAGACAAGGATTGTACTGGCCTATTGGGAGTTTAAAATTCGCCCATGCTGAGATTACAAAGGTTTTATGCAGGGATTCTTTCGTACATGAATTTGAACCGTCCTTTTGGAGTAGATCGAGTATGATGATATACGTATACATATTCAAAGAAATAACTCCTAATGATTCACCGCGGGAGGACTCATTTCCTTTATTCGCTCCAACAGGCTAAGAGGGTCTGATATTTTGCGGACTCATGATCACATAATATCTGGTCTAAGAAGGACTTTGCTGACCAGAAGAATTTATTTCCATCTTGCCACTGATTTGAGAGCAATCGAGTCAAGTCACGTCTGACGGTGCCAAGCTGATACATCGCAGTCCCTTTGAAGTTGCTCAATCTGAAGGCCTTCTTGATGGCAGAGCTGGCCCGGCCCATGAGGAGGCTATCTGCGGCCAACGTCGGACATCCAGAAATCTTCCAAGCTGTTTCGAGGCCACAAAAAATATCAATGAGTATCTCTCTTTGATGGAGACAACCTGCTTGAACCCTCTCGAACTCAGCCCAAGTGGAAACAATTGCTCCTACAGTGGCTCGCGGATATAACAAGTGGTTCTGTCTGAAGATGGGTCGCGCTAGAGACCATAGTTGCACAATGTTGCATATAGTTGCCATAGTGTGTGCGTTTGCTACCCCAGTTTCTGATAATTTCTCCAAAAAAACTGCTGTATGCTGTGAGGAACTGAACACCAACAGCAACACAAACATTGCGTTGCATTCCTGAACATTGCCCTTGGCCTTCTCGTTTTCCGTATATCCTTCTGACATCTTCTGACCTCTCTTAAATACCAACAAGTCCAAGAATGCAAACAATATAAGAGACAAAGAGACACAAAGCACAACCGACATCAACCGACCAAGTGTTCCAAGGCATTGTGTCTTTTAAAAGGATACTGGGGCCTGGGGCTTCCAGTCGTCCATTCACTGGATGTTTCTTTTTTTTAAATGGTCTTAAGACCCTGACTTGGAGCAACAAAGTCACTCCACCATACCCTCTTCGCCATCTTTTCGTCCAGGCACTTCCGCCAAGTTCTTGAAAGTCAGCATCCAAGCCTATGGCGCCCACTGGCAGACCTGCCCAAATCCGGAACGGAATGCGGGGACGCCAAGCTCAAACCACGGGAGCGCGAAACTATCCGGAAAAGTCTAACGTCGACGTGTTGATGATTTTTGTGCTTGCGAAATGACAGCCGGAGTGGTTTTGGTCCGCACCTTGTTTCTGGGACTTGAAGCCGGGTGAAACGATCCAATTTCAGGTTGGATCTTCTTCTAGGCGCGGTCGCAAGACCTGATCATATGCTGACATACCGTACCAGTACCTGATTGTTCCGGATTTCCGAGCCTAAGAGCTCCGAGATGATGTTCACAAGCATCTTCTGTACAGAAGTCTCGGGTGGGCTGCAGGTCGTACTGGGCGTTGTAGGCATTAGAGGTTCTGGGAGCCTTGGGACAACGTGTCAAACCAGCGATGACAACAAGAGACTTGACATTTGACACAAAGAATACGTATTGACGTTGCATGACATTGCGACACGAGTCGCATAAGAGCTGCAGCACCTTTGTCTTTTTCCCGGGCCTTTTCAAACATCGAGGCAAGTAGAAGAAAGGCACAAGAAAGGCTGTTGCTACATGGTCGGGTGTCCTCCTTGAGTCCTTGAGCTGTTGTTATTCAACATGGTCTGACATTCCCCAAATGTTCTGAGCCGACGCCCATTCCTTTACATTCTGGCGAACATGTGAGTGATGGACAAAACATCCGGCTAGAGGGATCTCTTGATGATCATTGATGGTCCGGGTCGGCCCCCCTTCCTCTTTCCATTCTGAGCCAGCCAGCAGTCCGGGGGCGACCCATCTCAGACAAGTTGAAGCCCCAAGTGTGGCCGACATTGTTGGGGGGTGACAAATAATACACAGAGCAAGTCTATGTATAAGTATGGTACAGTATTGTATGGTACGGTATCGTGCATCGAATAGCACTCCTCATAAGTCGTTTGGCTGTCATTTGGCTGTTTTGTGCCCAACCAAGGTACTTGGCTCTGTCAATCTTGCCATTTGTGTTCCGCGGCAGCTGCTCCAATCTTACGATGACTTGCGGCCTTGGAGCGGCCCAAAGCACCTCCTCTTATATACATCCTTTTACACAAAACATTGTGAAGTGACATTTTGCAGCTCAAGCGGTGCAGGATTGCGTCTTTCAACATGAGTTGCTCAAGCAATCGTAGAACTAATATGATAAACATCTTCCAGACATCTGTTCTATTTGTACCAGGTTTTTCCAACTCAAAAGTTTCATTTTGGAGAATCTTGTACATACATGTTCAAGGTCGGGCGGCTGCATGTAAGATGGTAAGGACTTTTGGCAGGATGCTCGCACGCTGGCTTCCCGCACTTCGTCCGAACCTATCCATTTGGCATCAAAAATGCATGACTCCTATATATATATTATATATATATACATACATATATATATATATACACAAAAATCAAACTATTACAGTATATCATGATCTATCACGTTGGTTCTATCAGTCCAACACATCTGATTTCGCCTATACCGTCCATCACATTTCACTGATTTCTACAAACGAAAAGGCAGCCACAGCGCCTGGCTCAAAGTAAGCCACCAATCCATCCATACCGTTGCCGTTCTTGTGCAAAACGCACACCGCAGCCCGCGCTCCGGCTGCTCGACAGGCCGCTTCGATCTCGCCCAGCTCGATACGAAAGCCTCGTAGCTTCACCTGACAATCCCCGAAATGGATCTCTGGCGAAACCGAGCCAAACGCAGAAGTTCAAACAGTCTCAGTGGGTTTGTCAAACCGAGTGTGTAAAGATTACCCCCTGGGCAAAATAATCTCTAGGCATGGCCAGAACACATCTGAATCTTACATATAACTTCATGCACCTTATCTTGAGGTGTCATGAGGTATGGGGGTGTTTCAGGTTTGCAGGTACAAGTGGGGCGCAAAACCGGATGTTCCATGCCATCTCCAACAAACAGACCGTTGTCATGCATATCCCAGATTCATCCCCAGAAAGCTGGGGTCTTCTAAAGGTGAAGGTCAAGGTATGAAAAGGTCCGTGAGGTCCTTCAGCTCAGCTCCCAAAGCACCAAAAGCCCCTTGGATTCGAATGACCATTCAATGACCCTAAAGAGATGGAACCCTTCACCATTCGACCTGTCTCGACCTTCCGCTTCGAGGTCCTAAGCTTTGCTTTCAGGTATCATGGAGTTCCGATCAAAGGGGGTGATCCAACAGGCCAAATGAGCTTCATGCAGGTCCTGCATTGTCCTGGAGGAATGCATCCCGCAAATGTCTGCAAGCTCTTCAGTCCTCAGTCTCATTCTCATACATGGGTTCCTTCACAGAGTTCTAAGCCTAAGCCTGCTATTTCATAATTCTAGGACCCGTTCCAAGGGGTAATGTACTTCTCCCGGAAGTTGGACAAGGGCCCCCCCACACCGTCGAGTAAGTGCCATGCAACCTTCATTCAGTTTGCCATTCATTTCCCTGAATGTAAGACTGCTGCAAGGGATTGCGCAGCAGGTACAAAGGTCTCCAGTTGCTAACAGACCCCAGACACGGATTTATAAATTATGCTTATAACTGTTTATCTAGATGAAGCTGCCACCGACAGCTAGTTGCTTAAATTATTTAAAGCACGGCACCAGCAAACAACACCATTGAATTGTGGTGCGGCCACAAACTACTAGATGCCACATCAGGGGCCACCTGTAAGAAATCATGGTATCGTTAGCTTGAAAATACTTGAAGAGCACATTAACATTCTCAAGAATCTGCGAAAAGGTGGATCAATCATATTTCAAAGTTGTTTTGGATACATTGAATTCCTGACAGGTCGGCCGAACCCTCCCGGTCATTCTGCACCTGGAAATCCTTGCGGCCCAAAAGGTCAATCACGCCACCTTCTCGCCAGCGTCCCAGATCGCCTCTGGACTGTGGATGTAGGGCCGAGTGAGGCAGAAATAAAAAATCGAAAATCGGGGGGGAACATCTTCATTTGTCAAATCTTCAAGGTTTCAAGTGTTATCCCTCCATTAACAAACTACAACACTTTCTTGTAGAGGTAACTACACCCTCTACCTGGTGGGTTTGCTAAAAAGGAACCGATCTTTGTCGGTGGAGAAGCGAGCCTGTCATGTACAGCCGATCCATTAAAGTCTTCTTTCGAGGACTTGATCCGTCCTGGGCAGCAAGACACATCTGAAAAATCTGAAAACACCGCCACAGATCGATAGCGAGAGAGAGAGAGAGAGTGAGTGAGTGAGTGAGTGAGTAGGTGAGGTGAGGTGAGGTGAGTGAGTCAGTGAGTGAGTCTGGGAGGGAGGAAGAGGGAAGTAAAGAGTTCTATAATGCCTATGATTGCTGTACGCCATTGGTATAAGTATAAGATAAATGCCGACTGTCAATCACTGAAGTATAGTATATTATATATATATGTGGTCGTGTTGTTTGACCACATACACATTGGCTTCTGCTCCTCGCTGTTGGCCCAAGATGTCAGCGTCCCGGCACCTGAACGTGGGTGTTTCAGGGCATGTCCGGCGTACCGGTCTGGGTTGGATTTCCACTATATACATCCTTGTCGTTATTAATCTTATAGGTCTTGTTACTACTAGCGTCTTGCTCTTGCTACTAGTAGTATAAGGCAGGATCTACTAGTAGCGTCCTTGCTCCTGGTAGCGATGCGTCCTCTTTGAGGGGCCAGCTTCAGTTTGAGCCACAAAAATGCAACATGCAAATCTCGGGCCAAGCAGCCTCGGCGCCGCATCATGCTCGCTGCCTGGCACAAAAAAGTTAATGATGTCAAGATAACCCACCACCAGTCCGGGGCAGTTCAGCCCAGCCAACAGTAAACCTCGGTTTTGTGCTGGTACCAAGTTCAGTCCTAATCACTTTGAAGTGCCTGCTTTAGCTGCCTCAACTTAATTAGTCCACTTGAACTCCTCCGGATTATATAGCTTCCTCAAGGCCCAGCTGATGAATTAGTAGCTTCTTGCTCCTACTAGTAAGGCCAGGAGTGCCCCTAGTAGCGTCCTTGCTCCTAGTAGCGATGTCCTTTGCTCCTAGTAGCGTCCTCTTCATCAAAGCCATCTTCATTTCGGCCTCCGCGCTCTCGTTGCTCAATGGGGTGCTCTCGCAGGGTGATGATCCTTAGACGAGGCAATCAACGCACATGGCGGGTCGAAGACCCGGGGAACGCTTCGAGAACAAGATGTTGTTGTCCAATCGTGTTTGCGAAAGGAACCCAACACAAAACATGTAAGGTGGAAGATTAATAAGCCCAGCAGTGAATAGTCCCCATACTGTGCCAGGTGCTGCTCAATGACTCTAGTGGTCTAGGTTAATTTCAGGCCCCGCCTTCCTGATCCACCACTGAAATGCACTTGGCTGATGTTTCTGAATGTAGGGAGGGCCCATCCACCGAATGGACATCTCAAATGACATCACCCAAACCAAGCGACCAGGAAGCTTCTGACCATCGACATCTGCTGGGCACCTGCAACCAAGCAGCCCGCCAGAGTGGAAGAATCCCCAGACTCCAGAGATGAGTCCGAGCGAATCGTCGTGAAGTCTGGCACGAAGGCCTTCTTGTCGAGGTCCGGCCTGGCCGTTGGACGGACGCAAAAGCAATGGCTAAACACCACCACAGAGAGAGAGAGAGAGAGAGGCCAAAAAAAGACAGGGTGGTTGCATTCTTACATGGTGCAAGCGAGTGCGAGATTTCTGACCTCAACCGTGGAGATGAGATGTTTCTATCGCTTCTATATATTATGCTTCTGCCATCCTCCATCCGTGGAGATCAGGCGCTTCGATCGCCTTCCCAAGTAGCCCCGCGCAATAAAAGGCCCTCCGAAGGCGATCTCGGCGGGCTCCAGCATCGCTGCGGACTTGCTGTCACGAAGGTCCGCCAGCACCACCTGGACGCGACCGAAAACTCTGTGACCGCGTTGCGGAAATGGCCCAACTGGCATCTATGTCAGTGGTTGGTGGATATGTGGTGGATCGATCATGTGCTTTTGAAGCTAGGGATAGCTAGGCATGTTTTGACGACTGTCTGATGACACACTCTTATAGGTTTGGCCCTCCTCAACTGCATAACCCCAAACATTGGTCTCCTCTGCAGCATCCTTGACAGGTATTGCAAGCAGATCCGGCGCGTTGGTAGAACAAAAACTAGTAGATGCGTGGATTCAGGTGGTAGCTTCACACAGCTTTAGGATCTTTCGGGGGGTCCTCACACTTTGGCTCTGAAGTGGCAAATGCCAGGACTTTGTTCTTGTTACTAGTAGCGATGCCAGCAGCTACTAGTAGTAGTAGTAGTAGTAGTAGTAGTAGTTTCTTGTTAATAGTAGTTTCTTGATACTAGCAGCGATGCTAGGAACTACTAGTAGGTTCTTGCTCCTAGTAGCGATGCGAAGTCAGGAGCTACTAGTAGTTTCTTGCCCCTAATAGCGATGCCCTTTGTTACTAGTAGTTTCTTGATACTCATAGCGATGACAGGAGCTACTATAGTAGCGTCTTGCTACTGATAGCGATGCCCTTTGTTACTAGTAGCTTCTTGCTCCTAGTAGAGATGCCAGCAGCTACTAGTAGTTTCTTGCTCTTAATAGCGATGCTAGGAGCTACTAGTAGCTTCTTGCTCCTAATAGCGATGCCCTTTGTTACTAAAAGCGATGCTAGGAGCTACTAGTAGGTTCTTGTTGCTAGTAGCGATGCCGGGAGCTACTAGTAGCTTCTTGCTCCTACTAGCGATGCCCTTTGTTACTAGTAGCTTTTTGTTACTGGTAGCGATGCCAGGAGCTACTAGTAGCTTCTTGCTCCTAATAGTGATGCCCTTGGTTACTAGTAGCTTCTTGTTACTAGTAGCGATGCTAGGAGCTACTAGTAGCTTCTTGCTCCTAATAGCGATGCCCTTTGCTACTAGTAGCTTCTTGTTACTAGCAGCGATGCCAGGAGTTTCTTGCTCCCTAGCTTCTTGCTCCTCATAGCGATGCAACGCCAATAGCGATGCGATGCTACTAGTTTACAGTAGTAGCTTCTTGCTCCTAATAGCGATGCGATGCCAGGAGCTACTAGTAGTTTCTTGTTCCTAATAACGATGCCCTTTGTTACTAGTAGCTTCCTGTTGCTAGTAGCGATGCCGGGAGCTACTAGTAGCTTCTTGCTCCTTATAGCTATGCCCCTTCTTACTATAGAAAGTTCTTGCTCCTTATAGCGATACAAGTAGTTCCCGGGCAAGCCGGCGGCGGAAGTTTCATATAAGAACAAATTGACCTATAGGAGTGTCCACGTTCTCTCCAACATGAGCGTCCTCCAGTCAAACGCACGCGCTCCGGACTTGTGCCCCCTGCAGGATCAGCAGCTCACAACAGCGTACTGGGTTGTATCTTTGCCACGACAAGAGGGGTGTATGACGAGTGGTGTATGATGAGTGGTGTATTGACCAGCAGTTGAATGTCCTGTCCTGCATAAATGCAACCAAATACTATCAGTATGAACTGTGCCAAACCTGCACGCCGCGAGAGATGTCTCAGCAGCGAGAGATGACTCAGCCGCGAAGAGCTGACTCAGCAGCGAGAGATAAATGAGCAGCGAGAGATGACTCACAGCAGCGAGAGCTGACTCAGCACCGACAAATGACTCCTCCGCGTACTACACTTGTACTACAAAGTGGCCAGTTCTCAGCTTCCAGCTCCACAGGTTGTTCCGCGTGCTAAAGTTGTACTAGAAAGTCGCCAGTCAGTTCTCATCTTCCAGCTCCCCAGATGCTCCGCGTACTGCAGTTGTACTACACAGTCGCCAGTTCTCAGCTTCTAGCTGCACAGATTGCTCCGCGTACTAAAGTTGTACTACAAAGTCGCCAGTTCTCAGCTTCCAGCTCTACAGATTGCTCCGCGTACTAAAGTTGTACTAGAAAGTCGCCAGTTCTCAGCTTCCAGCTCTACAGATTGCTCCGCGTACTAAAGTTGTACTACACAGTCGCCAGTTCTTAGCTTCCAGCTCTACAGATTGCTCCGCGTACTAAAGTTGTACTAGAAAGTCGCCAGTTCTCAGCTTCCAGCTCTACAGATTGCTCCGCGTACTGCAGTTGTACTAGAAAGTCGCCAGTTCTCAGCTTCCAGCTCCACAGATACTCCGCGTACTAAAGTTGTACTACAAAGTCGCCAGTTCTCATCGTCCAGCTCGCCAGATACTCCGCGTACTAAAGTTGTACTACAAAGTCGCCAGTTCTCAGCTTCCAGCTCTACAGATTGCTCCGCGTACTAAAGTTGTACTAGAAAGTCGCCAGTTCTCACCATCCAGCTCCACAGATACTCCGCGCAGTAAAGTTGTACTACAAAGTCGCCAGTTCTCCTCGTCCAGCTCGCCAGATACTCCGTGTACTAAAGTTGTACTACGAAGTCGCCAGTTCTCAGCTTCTAGCTGCACAGATTGCTCCGCGTACTGAAGTTGTACTACAAAGTCGCCAGTTCTCATCGTCCAGCTTGCCAGATACTCCGCGTACTAAAGTTGTACTACAATGTCGCCAGTTCTCAGCTTCCAGCTCTACAGATTGCTCCGCGTACTAGAGTTGTACTAGAAAGTCGCCAGTTCTCAGCTTCCAGCTCCACAGATACTCCGCGTACTAAAGTTGTACTACAAAGTCGCCAGTTCTCAGCTTCCAGCTCCACAGATACTCCGCGTACTAAAGTTGTACTACGAAGTCGCCAGTTCTCATCGTCCAGCTCGCCAGATACTCCGCGTACTAAAGTTGTACTACAAAGTCGCCAGTTCTCAGCTTCCAGCTCCCCAGATGCTGTGCCTGCCACGAAATCTGCACATGGAGGTTCACAAAGTGCTGTGCCTGCTAGGAAATCTGCACATGGAGGTTCACAAAGTACTGCGCCTGCCACGAAATCTGCACATGGAGGTTCACAAAGTGCTGCGCCTGCCACGACATCTGCGCATGGAGGTTCACAAAGTGCTGCACCTGCCACGAAATCATGGAGGTTCACAAAGTGCTGCACCTGCCACGAAATCTGCACATGGAGGTTCACAAAGTGTTGTGCCTGCTACGAAATCTGCACATGCAGGTTCACAAAGTGCTGTGCCTGCCACGAAATCTGCACATGGAGGTTCACAAAGCGCTGCACCTGCCACGACATCTGCACATGGAGGTTCACAAAGTGCTGCGCCTGCCGCATGACCCGAGACCGTCTCGCAACCGTCGTTCCGCAGACCTTGACTTGCCAGCTTCGGAGCCACCGGTTCCATTGAAAAATACAGCATTTCGTGCGTTCGCTATCTCTCCGCAACGCATTTTGTATTGCGCCTGCCACGAAATCTGCACATGGAGGTGCACAAAGTGCTGTGCCTGCCACGAAATCTGCACGTGGAGGTTCACAAAGTGCTGCACCTGCCACGACATCTGCACATGGAGGTTCACAAAGTGCTGCACCTACCACGACATCTGCACATGGAGGTTCACAAAGTGCTGCACCTGCCACGAAATCTGCACATGGAGGTTCACAAAGTGCTGCACCTGCCACGAAATCTTCACTTCAAGAAACATGTGAAACCTCTAATCCCAATAGACGGACGATTCCGAGAATGATCCGAGCATGATCCGAGCATGACCCGAGACCGTCTCGCAACCGTCGTTCCGCAGACCTTGGCTTGCCAGCTTCGGAGCCACCGGTTCCATTGAAAAAAACAGCATTTCGTGCGTTCGCTATCTCTCCGCAACGCATTTTGTATTGCGCCTGCCACGAAATCTGCACATGGAGGTGCACAAAGTGCTGTGCCTGCCACGAAATCTGCACGTGGAGGCTCACAAAGTGCTGCGCCTGCCACGAAATCTGCACATGGAGGTTCACAAAGTGCTGCACCTACCACGACATCTGCACATGGAGGTTCACAAAGTGCTGCGCCTGCCACGAAATCTGCACCTGGAGCTGGAGTTGCCTGGAGCTTGAGCTGTTGAAACCAGAGCTGGTGTATGAGCGGTGTATCATGAGTGGTGTGTGATCAGTCGTGTATGATGAGTGGTGTATGATGAGTAGTGTATGATGAGTGGTGTATGATGAGTGGTGTATGATGAGTGGTGTA